GGCCACAGGCCGGGCGGGGGGCCCCCCCCCCCCAGTGCACAAATTTTTGTGCACCGGGCCTCTAGTATAGGATAATAACCATTCTAATAGGTGTGAGGTGAAAACTAGTGGTTTTGATTTGCATTTTCCTGATGACTAGTGTAGGATGTTGAGCACCTTTTCATGTACCTATTGGCTATTAGTATGCATTCTTTAGAAAAATGTCTATTCATTTCCTCTATTTTTTTTTTAATCAAATTGGGGTTTCTGCTATTGAGTTTTATGGATTTTTTATATATTTTGGGTATTAACCCCTTATCAGGTATATGATTTGCAAATACTTTCTCCCAGTTCATAGGTTGCCTTTTTATTTTGTTGGTTTCCTTTGCTGTGCAGAAGCTTTTTAGTTTAATGTAGTCCCACTTGTTTATTTTCACTTTTGTTGCCTTTGCTCTTAGTGAAATCCAAAGAATCATTGCCAAGACCAATGTCAAGGAACTTAGGAGCTCTGTTATTTTTCTAGGAGTTTTATAGTTTCCAGTCTTAGGTTCAAGTTTTTAATCTATTTTGAGTAGATTTTGTGGTCCACTTTTCCCAGCACCATTTATAGAAGAGAGTATTCTTTCCCCATTGTATTTTCTTGGTGCCTTTGTTGTAAGTTAATTGAGCATATATGTGGATTTATTTCTGGGGTCTCTGTTGTGTTCCATAATAGATCTATGTGTCCGTTTTTATGCCAGTACCATAATGTTTTGATTATTATAGCTTCATAATATAATTTCATACAAATTCCATACAAATTTTAGGATTGATTTTTCTATTTCTGTGAAAAATGCCATTGACATTTTAATAGGGTTTGTATTTTACCTGTGGACCACTTTGGGTAGTATGAACATTTTAACAGTATTCTTCTAGTGCATGAATATGGGATATCTTTCCATTTGTGTTTTGGTCAATTTCCTTCATCAATGTCTTACAGTTTTCAGTAGACAGACCTTTCACCTCCTTGGTTAAATGTATTCCTAAGTATTTTATTCTTTTGGATGCTGCTGTAAATGGAACTTTCTCTTTCTGATAGCTGTTAGTGTATAAAATGTAGCTAGCTGACTTTTGTATATTGATTTTGTTTCCTGCAAGTTTATTTATTAGTTTTAATAGGTTTTTTTGGTATAGGATTTAAGTTTTTCTAAATATAACCATGTCATCTGCAAATAGAAACAGTTTAACTTCTTCCTCTTACCTAATTGCTCTGACTAGGACTTCCAGTACTACGAAATAACAGCGGCAAGAGCAAGCATCTTGTCTTGTTCTTGATCATAGGAGAAAAGCTTTCAGCTTTTCACCACTGAGTATGTTAACTGTGGGCTTGTCATATATGACCTTTCTCATGTAATTTCCTCTATATCCAGTTTGTTGAGTTTTTAAAAGATGTTGAATTTAGTCAGATGTATTTTCCTGCATCTGTTGAGGTGATCAGATTTTTATCCTTCATTCTGTTAATGTGGTATGTCACACTAGTTGATTTGCAGATATTTGACACAACCTAGCATCTCTAGCATAACTCCCATTTGATCATGGTATATGATCGTTGTAATGTATTGTTGAATTCAGTTTGCTAATTTGAGGATTTTTGTATCTATGCTCCTCAGGGATATTAGCCTGTAATTTTCTTTTCTTAAAGTGTCCTTGTCTGGCTTTGATATCAGTGTAGTGCTGCCCTCATAAAATAAGTTTGAAAGAGTTTGAGAAGGATTACTATTCTTTTTTAAACGTCTGGTAGAATTCATCAGTGAAAACCATCTGGTCCTAGACTTTTCTTGGTTGGGAGATTTGTGATTTTTTATTCAATTTCCTTAGTAATAATTTGTATTTTATATTTCTTCATGATTCATCCTTGTAGGTTACATGTTCCTAGGAATTTACCCATTTCTCCTAAGTTTTCCATTTTGTTGGGAGTATAATTATTCATAGTAGTATTAAAGTTTACATCAATGATGAGAGAGAATCATTGATCGTCTGCCTCTTGCACGCCCCCTACTTGGGATTGAGCCTGCAACCCGGGCATGTGCCCTTGACTAGAATCAAACCCAGAACCCTTCAGTCCACACGCCGACACTCTATCCACTGAGCCAAACCAGCTAGGGCCATAGTCGTCTTAAATGTATAATATTTTGCTTATTAAGACAGCTTAAAATTGACAAAAAAATGTTTTAAAAAATTAAATGATGTCACTATTATTTTGTTTTATTGATTATCAGGGAATATAAGTTGGGGAAGAGAACTGAGATCTGCTTAGAACCCCTTCAGAAAGAAGAACACTTAGGGTAAGAATTCCATGTCTTATCACAGTGGGTGGCTTCTCAGTGGTATGGCAGATTAAAACAGATTTTGTTCTGTGTAACATGGAACCCATTTTCCATAGAAATTAGACTTGTTCAGTAAGTCCAAGTGCACACTAAGCCCACTCAGCAAGACTCTGTTGATGCAGGTGGAGAGTCTGAAGTCAAACTGCCTTATAGCACCTCTCACTCTGGCCCTTCACTCTACTTTTTTCATCCTAATATCAAACCTGACATATTATGTCTCCCACTACTAGGATGTAATCTTTGCGAGAGCAAGTACTTTGTTTTTTGGTCATGGCTGTATCCCCAATATCTAGAACAGTGCCTTTGTCATAGTCAACGTATTTTTTGAATAAAGAAGCACCCCAAAGTTTCTTTCTATTATTTTTTCACTACAGAAGAATCTTTTTTTATTTCTATTTTTTTAATATTTTATTGATTTTTTACAGAGAGGAAGGGAGAGGGATAGAGAGTTAGAAACATCGATGAGAGAGAAACATCGATCAGCTGCCTCCTGCACACCCTCTATTGGGGATGTCCCCACAACCAAGGTACATGCCCTTGACCAGAATCGAACCTGGGACCCTTCAGTCCGCAGGCCGATGCTCCATCTGCTGAGCCAAACCGGGTAGGGCTAGAAGAATCTTTTATATTGTACGCCATAAGCGTCTGTAGACGCAAGTGGCAGCCCTGACCAACTTTAAAATCATTTTTCGTGAGAATTTTTAGCTGAGAATATTCAAGAACACCTGAATTGTAATATATTTATAATATTCATTGCAAATTGATTTTTTAAATTAAATTCAAAATGTCATGGCGTGTGGGGATGGTTTCCATTTTGGACGCGTGGCAGTTAACTGAATAAGCCGTCTTTGTTAGCATCACCGAGTGTTAAGATTCCTTCACCTGACATCCAGTAACTTTGATCGCGTTCTTTCAGCCACACTGACCTTCCTGTGATGTGACTGTCTTAATACAAATTGTGTTACCAGTAGCTTCTGGGGGGGGATTTCTGGATCAAATGATATGGACATTTTAAACCTTTTAAAATAAATTATTCCTTTCCAGGTAAGTTATATCAATTTATGTTCACACAGTGTTTCTGAGTATTTACTTCACCTCATCCTCAAATCAACATTGAATATTGTCATTGTATAAAGGTTTGCTTTGATTGCTACTAAGATTGGGCATTTTTTTCAAAGGCTTGTGAGCCATTTGTAGTTTGTGAATTATTTCATACATTTTGCCTGTTCTAATGGGGTCTAACGTGTGTGAGCTCTTTCTGCATGTCTGTTTTAAGCAGGATCTTTTGTTTTCAATAAGCAGTATCCCTTTGAAGCCTGTGCTCTGCACTTACTTAGACCCCTAACCAGCTTCTGGTTCCTCATCGTCCTCTTCACCCCAGCATCTGTGCTGACCCTCCACTCCCTCATGGAGAAGGTTCGGTCTCCTCCAATTACTCCTTTTCTCCCATTGCATCACTCTTTCCTTTGGTAAAAACACCAATATAACAGAAGTAATCTTTAAAATCACTCATTGTCGCACCATCCTAAAAACAAGTGAAAGAGTAGTTTTCACTTCTCCCCCTCCAGCTTCCAGTCTTGCTTGCAGTTTTTACTTCATGTACATAACAACTTCCATAGATCTCTTTTACTCCCATCTTTCTGACTGTTCTTTCCCTCCTCCCTGGCTACCCCACAGCAGTCAGATTTTTAGCACCGCCCAGGCAGTCACTGTGCTGGGAACCCTCTCGTCTGGGAGGAGCTTCACTCCATCCTAGGTCAGGATGAAAGGAAATGAGGGTTTAGTGGCAACCTCTTATAAAAATGAGAAGAGCTGGAGGGGAAGCTTCACACATCACCCCGCTCGTATCTATCGTGTGTTCCTCATTTTACTTCAAAGCTGATGTTTTACTGTTTTCTGGTGCAGCCCTCAGGACATGCTGCTGAGGACACAGATGCGCCTCCCTGGCGAACGGGCATATGCCCTGCCCGTGGACGTGGTGTGGGACGCTGCCCGGGGCACTGCCAGCTCCCTGCGGCAGCGAGTGGCTGACTTCTATTCCCTTCCTGTAGAGAAGATTGAAATTGCCAAATACTTTCCTGACAAGTTTGAGTGGCTTCCAGTGTCCAGCTGGGTAAAGTGTGGGGCTTCCTGCATAACAACAGCTTCCCTGCAAGTTTTCACAGAGGGAATTTAGTAAGAATGCGAGGTTGTTTTCTTTATTCAAGATGCTTGATTTTTCTATAGAACCAGCAAATTACCAAGAGGAAAAAGAAGAAAAAGCAAGATAATTTGCAGGGGGCACCTTATTACTTGAAAGATGGAGATATTATTGGTATTAAGGTAAGTTGTTTAACAGCAAGTTTCCCACTTTGACAAAACACCAGGATTAGATGGTTTCGTAGAAATGATTTATGAAATCTTCAAGGCACAGAGTCTTTTGTATATAAATTGTTCAGAGCACAGAACACGAAGAGGGAGAGCAGACAGCTCCTCATGTGGCCAGTGGGGCCTCAGCACCAAAACCCTAACTGTGGGTCTGACCTAAGTAAAATGCTGCTGTAGGTGTGAGTAGGTACCTGCATTAGGTTACATTTCCTTCCATTCCTAGTTTGCTGAGTTCTTTGTTGTAAATCATTAAAATCGGTGTTACTAAGAAATATGTCCTTGACATGGGCCATTCTTACATTCCTCCGACAAACCTGGTTTGTTGTCAATACTTTTTAATTCTTTAATTCTTAAGTGAACTATTTACTGATAATCAATTGATTTAATCCCTTAATCACCACTTCTAGTCAACACTGTATTAGACAATTGACCCTCTTCCCTAAAAAGTAAATAAGGTTTTTCCCGCGGCAGACACAGCTGATTCTCACAGCCAGTCGGCCTGGTGGTCAAATCCCTCTAGTATTAACTACAACAATCAAGGCTCAACTAGAACAAGACTGCGCACAAAGACCACAAGGGGGTGCACCAAGAAAGCATAAAAAATGCGGAGACAAAAAAACATGACAGAAATGGACGATATAGAGCTAAAAAACGCAATTTTGAGGGCTTGCAAAAATGTGCTAGAAGCTGCCAATAAACTTGAGGAGAGACTCACGAAAACTAATGAGACCCTCGATGCTATGATAAAGAACCAACTAGAAATTAAGCATACACGGACTGAAATAAAGAATATTATACAGACACCCAATAGCAGACCAGAGGAGCGCAAGAATCAAGCCAAAGATTTGAAATGCGAAGAAGCAAAAAACACCCAACCGGAAAAGCAAAATGAAAAAAGAATCCGAAAATACGAAGATAGTGTAAGGAGCCTCTGGGACAGCTTCAAGCGTACAAACATCAGAATAATAGGGGTGCCAGAAGATGAGAGACAGCAAGATATTGAAAACCTATTTGAAGAAATAATGGCAGAAAACTTCCCCCACCTGGTGAAAGAAATGGACTTACAGGTCCAAGAAGCGCAGAGAACCCCAAACAAAAGGAATCCAAAGAGGACCACACCAAGACACATCATAATTAAAATGCCAAGAGCAAAAGACAAAGAGAGAATCTTAAAAGCAGCAAGAGAAAGAGACTCAATTACCTACAAGGGAATACCCATACGACTGTCAGCTGATTTCTCAACAGAAACTTGGCAGGCCAGAAGGGAATGGCAAGAAATATTCAAAGTGATGAATACCAAGAACCTACAACCAAGATTACTTTATCCAGCAAAGCTATCATTCAGAATTGAAGGTCAGATAAAGAGCTTCACAGATAAGGAAAAGCTAAAGGAGTTCATCACCACTAAACCAGTATTATACGAAATGCTGAAAGGTATCCTTTAAGAAGAGGAAGAAGAAAAAGGTAAAGATACAAATTGTGAACAACAAACATGCATCTATCAACAAGTGAATCTAAGAATCAAGTGAATAAATAATCTGATGTACAGAAAAAAAAAAAAAAGTAAATAAGGCTGTTTACCTGCCATGTTTCTGCACAGGACATTCAAGAGACTACAAGATCAACATCCATAAAATTCTAAGGTAACTAGGAATACATCCAACAAGAAGCCTTCTAAGACCTCTCCGGAGAGTATCACAGAAATTTTGAGTGGCGTTAAAGCTTCAGTTTTTACCATGTTCTTAGAAAGGAAGCCTCTCAGTAGTAACAGTGTCGTCCCAGGGAAAACCCAGACGGATTACATTAAAGAGGATAAATATGTGGAAGAGCTCGGCCAGGGTCCTTGCCTGGTCAGCATTAGAACTGACGCTACAGCCCCCAAACCGACCCCCACAGACAGGGAACTGACAGGTATTTCAGATCCACATTAAAAATTATTATTCAGTAAGTGGTTCTGGGGAAATTGGTTCCATGTAGAAAAAAATGCAGTCATCATTTTGGTTTTCATAAAGAGGGTGCTCAAGCTTACATTAGCCCCAGGTCCCATAACATCTGTGCACCTCTGCTCACACCAAGCACAGCAGTCAGTGTAAAGGCTTACATGTGAAAAGCAGTGATTTCCAATCTTTAGAAGAATAGATGTAAGAAAATATTTGACTTGGGATTTCTTAAAATAAGAAACAAAATGCACAACTCAAAGTATTGATTAAATTGACTACATTAAAAGGAAAAACATTTATACATCAAAAGAAACCGTCATCAGAAGCCAAGCCACAAATAGGAAAAGATATATGCAACAATAGAATTAATAAGGATCATTATCCAAATGTAAAATACTTCTACCAATCAGTTTCAAAAAAAATACAATCGGGGAGAAATAGGCAAAGATGAATAATATCTGGCAATTCTCAGAAAACTAAATGGCCAATAAGCAGATGAAAAGGTGGGCATCTTCTGGGTAGCCAGGGAGCTGCGAGTCAGCAGTGATTTGTGGCCAGACCCCCAGCACTGCGTCTAGCCGCTCTGGAAGCGGCGGGCAGCACTCAGGAAAGGTAATTCCACTCAGTCATCACCCCAGAAAAACTCACACTGGGGGCGAGGAGACACAAAAATGTCCACTGTGTGACAGCGTAAATTGGGAAGAACTTAAATGACCCTCAGAAAGGGGATAAAATGGGGAAAAATACTGAAACAGGTATAGAACACAGCAGTTAAAATTTATAAACCAGAGCTGTGTGCGTCCAGGTGAACATATCTGGTGTAGAAAATGATGTCCCAGGATGTTTTTTTTACAGAAAGTCTAAGCCATGTAAATGCTGAGTCCGCCTCCTGTGCTGCCATCGAATGACAATGCAGACAGAACACTAGCACCCAGTTGATGGTGGGCTTACCTGGAGCAGGGGTGGGCATCAACCGAGTCTGTCTTTTCCTTGGAAAATACTAAAATGAAGCAAATATGGTAAAAGGTTAGCACTAATTGCTAACTTTCACTGATAATTCTATTATAGGCCATGTACACATTTAACTCAGGTTTCCTCATGGCAGCCAGGGGAAGGGGGGAGCTAACTGCAGGGCCATGCCCAGCCCTCACTATCCTGGGGACATGGTGTCTGTCCCATTATCTCTGTATTTTCACAAAAGCACATCATGTACAAGTTACTGGACTGGAGATTACAGTATTTGTTGGGATAGTTTCTCCCGAGAGCAGAAGCAGGCAGCCCTGCAGTTGTGTAGGTCCCAGCCTAGGTGACCCAGTCAGCTCCCCCAGAGCCATGTGGTCCTCTGACCTATGCTGTCCTTCGGGGTTATCTTCCTTCAGGTTAACATTTTGATTGGTTCACACTGAGGGTGGCCAGTATTTATGGTAAATAAATTCAGATGTAAAACTGACGGCAAGCACTGGGAGAGCGCTCGTCCCTCAGGAGGCCATGCTGAGCGTCCTGCGTCTATAACGCACTGCCAGACACTTCCAGGAGGTTCCCAGGAAGTCAGACGGGTGCACCTTTCAGCAGCTCCAGTGGAGCTGGAGGTGCTGGGTGGACATGGCTGCCCCCAGACCACAGCGTGTTTCTGCCTCTCCCTGTCGTCCTGATGGGGCCTGTGCAGGGCTCACTCCAGGGGCAGCGTTTTTAGTCACAAGCAAAGGTCGGGTGGCTGCAAAGTCACTTCTGCTCTGCCTGCCACTCGGTCTGTCATCAGGCACTAGAGTGTTTCCTGTCAGTTATTAATCCAGTTTACGTAAAGGTGGATATATCCTTATGTTGGTTTAGGTAATTTTCACATAAATTTACATACTTTATTCAAACGTAGGCTAAAACGATGTCTGAATACGTGGCTCCTTCCTTATTTTGAAATGCAGAATCTCCTGGTGGAAGAGGACGATGACTTCAGCACAGTCCGAGATGACATTGGGAGGGAGGACCCTGCTCTGGGGAAAAGGAAAAGGTAATGTGAGTTTTCTCACTGTCTCATGGACGCCGAGGCCTCTGGACGGCTCGCTCTTACTCACTCAGAGCTCTGGCCGAAGCCTCAGGTCTCATTACAGGGCTGAACACTTTGGAGAAACTTCGTGTCCTTTAGAACATGAACCAGGCCTGTGAGCTTGGGACAAAGATGCTCACAGCCTCACCTCGAGGACGCAGCCACACAGTTTCATCTCCTCCCCCCTCCCCCCCAACTTTCTGGGTCTTTCCTTCAGACACAGAGGTCTCAGTCACCTGAAAACAGGGGCATTCCCCATCACAAGTCCACCAGCTGTCACCTGCCCCTGGTGGCTGCTCCAGAGCTGCCTCACCTCACTGACCTCTTCCTGCCAGGCTCCTCCGGAGTCAAGTCCCCCTGCTCTCCCCGCTCTTACCCTTTCCTCTTCTGTGTACAGTGGGCTTGCTCCCCTGGCCTCTGGGCCACCTATACCTCCCAGGACCTCCAAACATCCTCTGAAACCCACACTTCAAACCCCAGTGCCCAGACCCAGCTCACCACTGCATCGTCACCTCCATGCAGGCCACACTAGGGGTGCCAGTCCTCCTTACTTGCTCCCCACTTTGGTCTCCTGAAGTCATTCCACACCCCTCGACCTGGGTGGGCCCCGTGTCAGTGACTGTGAGTTGGTGACAGCCTCTGTCTCCCACAGCCAGGAAGCACTTCGCGTGCAGAGCAATGGCCTTCTCTCCAGTGCAGAGACACCTGGCCGGCCCCACAGACCAGAAGCTTCTCTGTCCATCCACGTGGGGAGTTTCAGATAGCGCCAGCACCGCTGAGGTCCCTGTGGGCTCAGGTCCAGTCGGAACTGGTACCAGGGCCTGGCCAGCAGCGGGCTCTGCCCCTGCCAACTTTGCTTGTGGTTCCGTGAGAGCAGGCTTGTAGGCTGCTTCCATTTTATTAGAGGGACGTTTGGTCTCGGGCCAGGCAAGTGCACTTTCTCACCGGCCTGCACAGCATGGCCACCGATGGACTCCCAGCTGGGCTGTCTTACAGGTGCCAGTGAGACTGCACTGGACCCAGCCACCACAGTTACAAGAACATTGCCTAGTTCTGCATCGACTCCAGGCTCGCATAGCATGTTGGCCAGTGAAGTGCACACAGTCCACTCTCCTCCCTTCACTGTTCAGACAACGTAGTATCTGCATTCAGAGCTTCTGAGAGCTCAGCACGCTGATGGGCTGGCCAGGCTGGTGCAGGACACAGAGGGAGTCTGTTCTAGTTCAAAGTGTGTCGTCCATGATCAGAACGTTCCGGAAGCCTGTGCGCTGAGCTAATGGTCTGAGAAACCTCTCCTGAAACAAACAAAGGAAACGTGCACAAGCTCCTTTTCCTCTCCCTTTAGCATGGCCAGCTACGGATTTAAAAGATGTAACTGGCATTTATGACAAATGCTGCATCTGTGTTACGAACCGACTGACACTTAGGACACAGACGATTCACTTAACTCAGTCAAAAGTGGGATTCCTGAAAAGAAAGTAAATTCTTCACTTTTATGCCTCCAACAAGGCGAAGTACAGTTACAACGTCACACAAATCTCTCATCAGCCCTTCATCACCGACATTAAGATAGCACTTCCATGTTCAGAGGTGGACGAGGTCTCCTGTCCCGCTCGCTGAGAGAGGAAGTAAGTGGACATTGGGTTGGATGAGCCCGCTTTTGCCTCCTGTCCCCCTTCCAGCCTCATCAGAACCAGCTGGAACCCTCAGTCTCCTCCCTATTTGTCTGAGGTTGTTGGGTCTAAACTGTGCTAATTTGTAAGAAGTTGGACTTTCACTAGCAAGCTGCCCCCATGTTCTCAACACTCAGCCCGCCTCAGGATGCGCACTTGGGGTGGCGGCATGTTTGTGAAGATCCTGGACTGTGAGCTCAGTGTGGCTGGGAGCCCAGCCCTCGGTGCAAACTCTCCTGTTCCTTTTACTGTAACTGACATGTCTCCTGCTGCACCCTTCGTGTCATTTTAAGGTAATGAAGTAATGTAATAACTGAAAGCTTTGCTGTTGAGAAGCCAGACACCTCACTGGATGTGACTCACCAAGACAGAGGGGGATGGGTGGGTGTGCCTTAGGGTCCGCAGTGAGCCGCCGGGGCCTCCAGCTCCTTTTTTTCTTAAAGTTGCGATGCACTGGGGCTGCAGAGAGAGCTGTACAATTTAATAAAGAACAAATAAATTGTCTTCACGTTCCATTTTAAGCTGACTGCTTCGTGTTCCGCTTGGACTTTTTTCCCCGAGTGCATGTCAGATGCTAAATAGCATGGTTTATATTTGGAAATACTGTATCGGGACCACAGTAGAAACAACAGAAGCATGTTTTGGTTTTAAATAAGTTCAGATTCCTGGGAAAAACTGTGAAGAAACTGCAGTGGCCTTTTCCTTCTAGGGAACAGAACTGGCATAGGGTGCAGAAGACAGTTACTCGCCCTGACGTTTTTCTGCCAAAAGGGGTTACAAGAATTCCAGTAATCCATAACTATGGCTTCACAGGCACGTTTCCCTCTAGAACGGACTTGACTGTGCAGTATTACAGGCCGTTCACCCCATCGGGGAGGGGGCACGGCAGCTCATCTCATTCTGTTCTTGATTGTGTCACATCTAAAGCAGGGCAGTAATGCGAGTCAGTCAAGTACACAACAAACTCATTTTGTGTTCTGGGGACTCACTACCTTTCAAAGAGGAAAGTGAAGCAGTGAAATTCACACAGGTCGGGAGGGAGAAATGTCTACATTCCCTCCAGTGCTCACCCCTCCCACCCAGGCACCCTGTGGCGCTGGCCTGAGGACTCCTGGCTCATGAACCTCAGAGCTCACAGCAGAGCTGTGGCAGCCGTTCCAGGCGCTGGTGCCTTTCTCTCTCTGCTGGTTTCCACCTCCCAGAGGTTTCCCCCAGGTGGCGAGACGCCACCAGCAGCGCTACACTGACATCCTCTCAGACTCTGCCTCATTCTAGGGCTGGTAAAAGTCCTGGGCCTGATACCCATGGGCTCAAAGTGGGTGCCCTGCCCACCTTGCTGTCACTCCATTCAAATAAAAGCGGAGGGAGAGCAAGGCAGGTGGGGTTGCCCACAAGAGACCCCAAACAGAAACATCAAATGTGACAGCACCCAACTTGATGTTAACAGCTAGTCCACCTACCAGCGGACCACACATGTCCCCCTCCACAGGCAGCTCCTGCTCCCCACCGTCTTGGGGGAGGACAACAAGGTCCTCTGGGATGTAACACCTCAAGGTTCAATCTACAGCTAAATGACATGTAAGCCCAGCCTGGAACCAAGTACACAAGGAGTGGTATGACCACAATGAAACCTCTCTTCCGAGAAACAGAAGACGCCCAATGCAGCAGTCACAAGCCCAAGCTGCTACACGATGGCACAAACTCCCCGCCCACTTGTGAGGTGAGCCCCTGCCCTGCTGCACTGGCCACCCTGTTCTGCTCCGGAAAGGCTCGCACATCCGCGGTCCCTGTGGGTACACCTTCCGTGGGTGTTGGGAGAACCTCACACTTGGGCACTGCCTTCCCGAGGAGGCTCATCCTGGAGGCCTAGGGGCTGAGGTGCCTGGGGACCAAGTGAGCACAGGCTTTCGTCTGCCAGCTTGGAGTTTGGCTGGCAACACCATTTCCTTAATGGCTCAGAGACTTATGGTTGAATCTGCCTCTGAACAACGTGAGCCAGGGAGCCTTTACCTCCCCGCCAGTGCTCACCTTCCATGTGTCTACAACCCGTTCATGCTTTTGTGATCCAAACTGAGGAGGCTGAGCACTCGCTTCTGCCTGATACAGACAGGTTCTAAGGCCAGCACCCTGGCGGGGCTGGTACAGTCAGAGCTGCCCCCCCCCGCCCCCGTGGGCAGCTCCCCTGTGCAGCCCACCTCAGTGCTCTCAGGCCACGCCTCCATTGAGGCCTCCACACCACAACCATCTGCTCAGATGTGCCCAGTCTGCTCAGCTTTCTCTGCACCAGTTCACCCATCTCTTGTAGGGGCCCTGGCCCCACACCTGCATAATCACTGTAACTCATGTCTCTAAAAAAAGCTTTTGCTTTTCCCATACAAAATCATCAACCTCGATACTCGCTTCCATTCTCAAGCCATCCATGGCCCAAGCTAGCTGCTGGAGGACCAGCCATCAAGTCCACCCTCCAGGCCAGCAGCAGGAGGAAAGAAAGGCATGCTCCCAGGTTTTTAAGGAAACTTTCTGGAAATCCCAGTAAATACTTAATCTTTTTTACCAAAAGTAAGTCACATCAGTCAAGCTGCAGAGGAGACATGGTCACAGCTGCAGGGCATATTTGGGCGCAACCACTACGGTGCAGGAAGGAAAGGAGACCTGGTGTTTGCAGGCATCAAGCAGTGGCTTCCACAAAAGCTAAGAATCTTAGAAATGCTCAAAATTAGATTACACAGCACGGGGCCAGCACTAGGGTACAATGAGACCTTGGACACAAAATGTAAAGGCACCCAAAAACTCAGTAAGCAAGCTAGGTCATTTTCAATACAATACTTTTGGAAATCAAAGTTAATGCAGAAAAGCCTATGATGAACAAATTCAACTTATTTTTAGAGCAGCTGAAAAATGTCATTCTGATGCAGTTTCGAAGGATTTTGGCAACCAACATTTTATGTCAAAGTACAAGGAATGAGGACAAGAAATCAGACAATGAGAGATCCAAAACAGGCTTGTTTTATTTACACACAGAACCACTTATTTACAACCCCTGATGTGGACTATGTACATAGCAACACAGCAGGCATATGCTCCACGGTGAGTGCTGTATAAATTAAGATCATAAATATGAGGGTGAGTCCCACCCAAGAACACAAAATCTTTTCTCCAACACTCTCCAGGGATCCTTCCTGCCCCCACACTGACAGGCACCCCACCCTAGGACACAGCAGGGGTGCTGGAGCGGGCAGAGGTACAGCCCCACGTGCAACCACAAAGACACCACAAGGAACGGACGCCCGCCCTTCACTGCCGCACCTTCATGCAAAACTGACGTTCATTCCTTTGCTTCTAACTGACGAGATTTTTAAAAATGGCTTTTATGTAAACAGTGCTGCTTTCATCACTGACAACGTGTTAACTTTAAATACCACACACGACCCAAACCTAACTCCCCCCGCACCTCCTCCCCGAGCTCCAGCCTGTCCTGTCCCATCCAGACGCCCTGGGAACCTCAGAATCCAGGTGCCCACCTCGAACAGGGCAGTGCCTTTCTTCACCTTCAGCTGTTCTGATGGGGAAGAGAATCATGAGGCAGGGAAGGCAGACACAACTGCCTGGTCTCACCTCCAATGAAGGTATGTGCAGAACACGGGGCTCACTCCAAACCCTGCCGCCACGCCACACGTGAGCACAGGAGTGGGCACCCAGAAGAACCACCAGTGGGAGCACCCCCAAACCAGAGACGGGTGCCTGGCCATGCCCAGGGAGGACCCACTGGGCACGCTGGTCAGAGGGGTCTGCAAAGTGAGTGGCAGGTAAATGCTGTTCAGCTGTGAGTCCCCAAGGGGCCCCTATGGGTGACTCTGGACAGCGCCCTGAGGCCTCCTGCCCAGTCCCCTCACAAGGTCAGCCCTCCCCTTTGGGATGCGGGATCCTGGCACCCAGGGGTGGGGGTCATAGAACCCCCTTTCCGGGGTGGAAGAGAGCCCTGTAAGGTGTGACTGTCTCTGGAAGGGCAGCAAGGGGCAAAGTCAAAGGCAGTGACGGCTTGCAGAGCTACACAGGCACCGACACCTCCAGGAACCTGGGGCCTGGCAGCACCAGACGAGAAGCCACCCACGGGTCAGAGGCTCTCAGGATAGCCCAGGCAGCAGCCTGTTGTCCCACAGAATGGACATGCTGTCTCCAGAGAAATACTGACCCAGCGCAACACACAGCCTCCGTTGCAGGGAGGCCACCGGCCATCGGGTGCTCCCTGCCCCGGACAGCACCGAGGCTACTGCATCCTGGACACACAGGACCACGTACCCCGCCGTAGCTCAGGAGGGACCCGAGACATACGGGGCAGGGGTTCATCAGCCCTAGAACGTGGTACCTGTTTACCAGCTCCAGGAGGAGCGAGTGTTCCTTTCTTTTTCACGTCACATTTGAATGAACAGGACTGGAAATGCATCCATGGTGCCTACGAACCAGGGAAGGCAGGACCTCATAATAAGCAGGGACATCTGCAGTGGGTGGCGGCCTCGTAGGGCTCCGTGGAGAACCATGAGTGGCTGGCAGGAGACGGTGCCTGACAACGCGCTATGAAAGGGCAGAGAGGAGCCCTGGGACACTTGTGTGCAGCCCAGCCAGGCTGTTTCTGCTGGGATGCCGGGGGCCAGGGAGGCCAGACCTGGCCCAGGATGTAGGTCAGCGAGCAGAGAGGTGGTGGCACAGTCACCACATACACCACTGGGTTAGAATGGTGCGTGTCCAAAGGTAGCCATGTTGGTGTGCCCGAGGCCCTGGAGCTGGCCAGGAACAGTGTCCGAGAGGCTTCCTGTCACGAGCACAGGGCGTAGAAATAGCACCATGAGAAGGGCCCAGGACGGGCCCCGCCTCAGTCGCAGGTGGAACGGAGGACGCAGGCCGAGAGGGCGGAGGCTAGGCCTCGGTGGCAGGGGGGCTGCGGCTCAGCTCCTTGATGCCACACAGGATCCTCTTCATGTGGCCCACCTTGGTCACGCCGAGGTCCTGCAACAAGAGCACAGCACCCTGATGCCAGGCAGCAAGCCAGGCCCCGGGCGCCACCATGGGCTGCCCAGCAACTCTGCACACAAATGAGGGAAGTGATGGTGACACCAGATGGACAGGAACGGCATAAAAAGTGACAAGTGTGCAGCTGCCTCCACACCCCTCCTGTGATCCAGTCACTAACACTGTTGAGGGAACATCACCCAAGACAAAGACCACACACAACTGGCAGCAAGTAAAACCCTCCCTCCCCAAGCACCACTGCCCAGGACATGGCCCCGAGACCACAGCCCTGAGCTGGGCCAGGCGCCCCCTCTCCTGTCCCTCCTGAGATGAGGCGAGGCACCCAGCCTGCAATGTAAGCCGTGCACATGGACACAGGTGAGAAGGGCTGCACTGGAGAAGCTGCCAGGCCCCCAGCAGCCACAGGGTCTCCCTGACTCTAATCGACTGTGTCACCAACAGAGGAACCTCTGTGTTCGAGTCCTCCACCACAGGGAGCTCTTCAGTGACAACAGTTCC